GGTTCAAGGGTAGACCCACTAAATGTTTAGGAAGATTATTATAAACAAATGGAATTTGATATGAGAAGCATCTCTTAAAAAATTCCAAACGATGGGAAGGAGGAGTTAACCTACCCCTGAACCGGATATTGACATTGTGTACGTCCGTTCTAAAGTTAATTCTGTCGAATAGATAAGGAGGGCGATATACATATATATATATATATATATATATATATACGATTCAAATGTCGGCCGATATTCGGTTATGCGGCTAAACTACTATTCGTCACATCACTAGTAAATATACTGTTCTTGAATCTTTCTTACATAATCTATCTTTAAAAGCAATTGTAATTTGCATATGTGAACATTGGCTCATTTATGATGAAATTAAAAATTTGTCAATACTAAATTATAATCAAATAACTTCTTATTGCAGGAGGTCACTTGGTCGTAGAGGAGTGGCTTTGTTAGTCCGTGAAGATGCTGAACTTATTGCTGAATTCTCTAAAGAAATGTAATGTGAATTAGCTGGAATTTACCTGTTCTTCAACTGACAGTTATTGGCGTATATCGTCCTCCATCGTTTGAGGTCGAAATTTCTTGAACCTACTAGGTTATAGAACTGTCTCGATAATTCGTTTGTTAATTCTACGAAATCTGCCACCTATGTCGCGCTAGATACATTATTTTCGGATCATTTAGCCGTAAACAATATAAAACTTTTTGCCCAACCACGGTAGATAGGTTGGAGATATTTTTTGATATTGTTTGTGGGACTGACCTTACTTTTTATAATGATATGAATGTGCATCCCAACATTAAGATTAACACTTTAATTAACTCTAATTGACCGGAATAAATGTCGCTCTGGATATAAGGTGACAATTCGCCAAGCCAAAAAAGAATGCCACTGACAAGTTTATTGTAAATCATAAAAAACAACCTTGAGCAATATGAAAAATAATTAACTCTAGTAATACTTCTGACAACTCTGCCAAAAGAGTTAGTTATTTAGATGCTGTTAACGGCCTCATGCCCAGCAAGTCTGCTGATATCTTTGGACTTAATGCAATCATGATTAAAAAAGTAAAAAACCTTTTGATTCCTGTACTTACTACTCTGTTTAACCAATGTTTAACTACTGGTTGTTTTCCAGATGACTTCTTTTAATGATCCCTCCAACTATAGGCCAATTATTATACTACCTATATTATCAAAAGTCTTTGAAACGTTACTAAAAAATCAATTAGTTATTTTTTTTGAAATTTATAATATTTTTAACAAACAACAATTTGGCTTTAGAAAAGGGTCTTCGACCACCTTGCCTATTCAAAATTTTGTTGAATACGTGATCAGTGGTTTTGAGGCCTCTCAGTGCACCAAAGCTAGTTATTGTGTTTATCACTCAGTTTTAATTCGCAAATTATATGCGTACAATGTAGCTCCAGAAGCGTCTAAATTCGATTATTATCGTCTTATCTTAAATACAGAAAACAATATGTAAAATTTAATTCTGCTATGTCTAATCCTGGAAGTATCACGGCTGGTGATCCCCACGGTTCAATTACCCTATTCTAAAGTACAGAAGTCACAGCCTTATAGAATTTAATGTTTATATCGGCAAAGCGTTGGTTTGCTAGTAATCGCCTGATTTTGATTAGTGGCAAGATAGTATCAATGACTTTTACATATGGGCAGAGTGGTGAGTCTTTAAATTCGGAGAAGGCAATCAGATTTCTTGGTGTCCATGTGGATCCTGGACTTACATGGAACTCCCTTGGGGAAGTTTTAGCTTTTCTATACTTGCGTGGGTACATGCCTCGATGAGTAAAAAAATTTTTAGCTTACAAAGAAGAGCCATTGGTAATATTGCTAAATTAATTACAGAGATGATTCTCGCTCTTCTTTTATTAATTTAAAAATATTAACGTTTCCTTCATTATATATTTTGGAATGCGTAAAATTCATATTATTGCATCATTGTCAGAATGAAAAGAATAATGATATTCACATATACGAAACCAGGGGGAGGAATGAAGTTCGGCATGTTTCACACAAACACAACACAAAATTGCATCAACGTTTGTCGTAAGTGGGTTCTTTTAAAACAACTCATCATAGTGTTGGTCGACCTCGATCTGTAAGTACTCCTGGAGTAGAAGATTTCTGCTGCAGTAAACATTAATGCCTCTCTAGTTTGGACAATTTTACGTCAGCAAGAATTGTATTCTTACCATGTTCAACGAGTGCAAGAACTTATCGCAGCTGACTACGTTTCGGGAATGTTGAGCCGTGTGTCCACTACCAAGTTTTCTTGCGGAAGTTGCTTCCAGAAGTGACTTCCAGAAGTTTTTGTCGTGTAAACACGTATTAGAAGTCGGCTTGCAGAAGTTACTTGCAGCAATTATGTGGAAACATGTGTTTGTTGCTTGCTGGAAGTAACTTGAACGACTTGCTGTGAACTACAAGTGTTTTGAAGACTTGCAGAAGAAGTCGGGTATACGTGAGTAAACGATTTGTGGTATTCTCTTCTGTTTTCAGTTTTGTTTTGTGTTTTTTTTTGAGTTCTTTTCAAAATTTATAAAAATGGACAAAAATAAATTCGTTTGGAGTAGTGAAAAAACACATTTGGTAATTGAAAAACAAGAAAGTTATCCTGAATTATGGGACACGTCCTCAAAAGACTATAAGAATAAAATTAAAAAACAAAATGCTTTAAAGGCAATAGCCAATGATATAGACGCACCCGAAGAAGAGGTCAAAAGGAAATTGCACAACCTCCGAACGCAGTTTGGTCAAGAAGTAAACAAAGAAAAGAAAAAAAAAGTGGCCAAAGTGCTGATGATGTATATGTTAGCAAGTGGGAGTTTTATAATGACATGAAATACATGACGTCATCTCATGTACCCAAAGAAACTGAGGATAATTTGGTAAGAATAAGAAAATACACATATATAATCGTTTTAATTTTTATTTCATTATATATTCCATTATATTACATATTCACTTGTACATACTTATTATATATGCCTATATTGCCACTCCACTTCTCCTTCTGGTGAAATAAAGTATTCAGCAAATTCGTTACGAACATTTTTCGGTTCTTGTGCTTGACTGCGTGAATTATGTGGTTCAAGTGGTAACATGTTTCTTTCTGGTATCCCTTCTGTACGGCACTCTCCTTGATTATCGGATACAGGAGAATTAAATGTCATAGACGACGCATATTGAGAATTGCGACTTAACAGACAGTTATGCAGAGCGCAAAAGGCCTTAACAATTTTTCTTGTTTTTTTTTCTTACCTGTTGCCAAAAATCGAAGAGTAACTAAAAGCCGGTCTTTGGGAGGTATAGCCAATCTCATTTTAGTATCCTGCTTTTGAATACTTGTTTGAATTAAAGATAAAATGTATTCAAAATCATCATTAGACATTCTCAGGAAATTTTTCAGCTGCATGGAATCTTCGGTCCGCAATTCTTCAAGTAATGTATTTTGGAAACTTAAATCTACGCGCCGCAGCACCCAATTTCTCACCCAAACACTTCTTTTTGTTTTTTTTTTTAATTTGTTTCTTTTTAATTAAATATGCTGCGATGGCAGCTGCCAATCTTATTTTGCCGCAAGACATTTTTATACTGTCATTCGTAAAAAAAACAAACTACTGCAAGCTGTACTCACATTGTGTGGAAACAGGTCTGCAATTTCTTGCAGCAAGTTCGTCGTGATAACTTCTACAAACTACTTCTGGAAGCAGACTTCCGCAAGTTTCGGTTTGAGTGGAAACACTTCAGCAAATACTTGCAGAAGTTCTTCCGCAAGTGACTTGCTAGTGGACACACGGCTTAATGAAGTGATATTGCAGAAGCTTGCACAAAATCCGACATTTCATGCTAGTGTTTCACTGACGAAGCTGCTTTTACAAACGACGGAATTTTGAATTTTCATAACAATCACGTTTGGGTGGATGAAAATCCTCACGCTGTTGTGCAATCAAGAAGCCAGTGTAAGTTTTCTGTAAATGTTTTGCTTCGTATGCTTGGTGATCGATTGATAGGACCAACGATTCTTCCTAATTGCTTAATTGGTGAAACTTATTTGGACTTTCTGCGAAACACTTTGCCGATATCATTCGAAGATGTACCTCTCCAGGATAGATTATAAATATGATTTATGAATGATGGCGCGCCTGCACATTTTGCGATCATTGCTCGTAATTTTCTTAATACTGAATTTTATGGTAGATGGATAGGAAGAGGAGGTTCAATAGTTTGGCCACCTAGATCATCTGATTTAAATCCTCTAGACTTTTTTGCATGGTGTTACATAACATCATTAGTGTATTATTACGCAGGATTCGAACATTTTCCATTTCAGGTTAATAGGTATTGCTGGGTTTTTGAGGATGAATATAATGACATCTTCTCTTCAAGCAATGCTTTATGAAGATCAATCCAGACGGAGAGTATTTTGTTAGCTTGCAGACCAAAAGTACATAATCCACAAATGCCTTATAGCGAGTATATGTTTCTTCCTTCATAAGGATGAGGACATTTTGTGCTACCAGAAGGATTATTTTTAGTGCGCATTTTTCTTATATATTACATTAAGTGTCCAATGATATTATGGTTTCAACATCTCTGAACATCATTCATTTTTCACACTCATTAAGAACCATGGAATTATTGAAACTGTAAAGGCATTAAGTACAAACAAGCAAAGGAAGTTACTCCCTTCAAAGGAAGATTTTTGAGCAAAAAACAAATCTATTTTTGTTTACATTTTATTGTGAAAAAAACTTAATTCTTTATTTACTTATATATTTTTAGCTCACAAATGTGTTTTAAGCGGCATAATTTTTAGTTGGATAATGTTCTTTGTACTTTTCCACATGACTTTGCATCTCATTTAATTGTTTCCTAAAAAAATCAACTTTTTACATTTAAATCTTAAATTATTAATTTCTTAACTTACGTTAAATGTTTAGGCATAAATTTATAAACATCTTTAAACATTTCATGCCAATTAGGTTTTGGTCTCTTTTCTGCGTCAGCAAACGCCTCTAAAATATCTTTCTTAGCCTTATCTATCCATTGTTTTTCTTTATCGGCGTTCCATAATCCATTAGCCTCCATAAACATTCGTAATTTATTAATTGGGGAATCGAATTGTCTCCAAGAATCCACCTCGTCTTTTGAACGATACGCTGAGCTATCATCTGAAGTCGAATGGTGACCTATCCTTTATTTTTAAAAAAATTAAACAAATTCATTAAAAAAATTAATTATTTACCTATAAGTCAATGCTTCTAAAACAACCGGTTTATTTTCTTTTAAACAATACTGTTTCGCTTTCTTAGTAGCATTAAAAACAGCAAAAACATCGTTTCCATCAACTCGAAGTGTGTTAATACCATAACCGGGTCCTCTGGCTGCTATTCCATCACCTCTATATTGATCTTTAGTTGGTGTTGAAATTGCGTAACCGTTATTTCGACAAAAAAAGATAACCGGACACTCTAATGTTGCGGCAAAGTTAAATGCCGCGTGAGCGTCACCTTCGGAAGCTGCACCTTCACCAAAATAACAAATTACCACACGATTTTTTCCTTTTAAAGCATAAGCAGCTCCTGCCGCTTGCGGAATTTGAGTACTTAACGGGCTTGAAATTGTTACAAAGTTAATTTTATTTGAACCATAATGAACCGGCATTTGTCGACCTTTTCCTAAATCATCTACATTTCCATAACATTGACTCATAAAATCTTTTAAAGAAAATCCTCTCCAAACTAAAACACCGGCTTCTCTGTATTGTCCAAATACTAAATCTTCCATATCCAAAGCAGCTGCACTTCCGATGTGGGTGGCTTCTTCGCCATAATTGGTCATATAAAACGAAATTCGGCCTTGTCTTTGGGATTCATAGAGGATTTTATCCATCGTTTTTAACAGGGTCATATCTTTATACATTTTTTCGATAACCTCATTGCTTAATTTTGGATCTTGAGATGATTTTATAATATTTCCTTGCCGATCCATTACTCGATAAACGGGAATTGGTGAATAACTGTGTGGCCCGGTAAAATCTAATCTTTCGGTCCATGTTGTTCGTGCCCCAGGAAATAAAGGCGATTCAGAAGAATAAAACTACAAATAAATAATAATATTTTATCTACGACTGCTTACATATGACTGTTGCTCATTTGAGGTGATTTGAGTTACGTAATGAAGTTCATTACCGCACTGGTTTCATTACGTAACGTATGTTTAGCCCAATCAGAATAGACTTAATTTATTGAAACGAGGAATGATACAAAAGAAAAAGTGCTACTTATTTATAGAGAAACAATACTATTTATTATAAACATTAATTGTTATGTTTTTACATTTCGAAATACTTATTCCAGATGAGTCAAGGTTATCCAACCCGAACAAATTGACGTTAACGGGGTAAGGTAGGAAATTGGAGGAAAAATATAATATATAATTATAATATTTACATAGTTACGAAACTTGCACTGTCCCACATAAAATGCAACATAACATACAGTACCGCTCAGAAGTACACTGTGCTAATTAATTATCATACCCGACGTCATCATTGCAACTATGCAACCAATATCACAGTGCAATACGCATCATACGTAAATCGCGTATTGCAATACCTATACTGTGATATTGGTTGCATACTTGCAATGATAACGTCAGGTACGATATTTAATTAACATACTGTATATGATAATTTGGTTTTTCTCACATAACTTTTCTAATACAGGACGAATGTTCACAAAATTTTCAGACAATGCATAACGAGTGAATAGAATTATGTTCCAGAGGTCACTATATGCCAACGCAGTTTTCGCTTGCACAGTCAATGAATTCGTCTGTGCTGAAGACGTGGAGGACATTCGGAGACTTCGTGACGAAGAAACGGAAATGCAAGGCGAACACACGGCTTACGACGGTGGACATTGGGAGAGAATTGTGCAGTTCTGCGTAATGCCAACCGTCTTCATCGACGGTCAAGAGGAGGCTGAAGGATGCAGAACTCATTGTTCGACATTGGGTAAAGAAACCACTCGTTTTAGCTAAGAATAGGAAGGCGCACGTGGAGGGGATGAAGGCGCTCCTCAACTGGACCCGGCAGCAGTGGGAGAAGGTCCTGTGGAGCAACGAGAGCAAGTCCCATTCTACGGGCACCGGCTTCAATCCCAAATATCTGCTTCCACGATAAAGCACGGCGATGGTTCTGTCATGGTGTGTTGGTGCTTCAGCGCTGCTACGGGTACCATGAACCAGCAGAAGTACAGGGACCCTCTGCAGGATGACATGCTTTGTTGGGAACGCAAAAACATGGGTGGGGGTTGGCTATTCCAGCAAAACAATGATCCCAAGCACACAATCAGGGACGTCCTACTGGTTCGCGCAGCGTTCAGTGGCCTCGTGCAGCCAGAACCCGGATCTCAATATCATGAAACCACTGTGGAACATTCTGGGACACAAGTTGACGGGCATTCGGGCCACTTCCGGCGACGAGAAGCTCCAACAGCTGTAGTCGAAGTCCACTATTGTTGCATTGATCAATTCCAGGCCCCGAAGCTGCTGTGATCAACAGCAAAGATTACCCAACCAAGTACTAGGTTGCTCTACATGGCTAATTGCTGCTCACGATTGTTATGTTGGTATTTCTTGAGTTATGATTTAGTTTTGTTGACATCGATTTATAGGGTATTTTCGTGTTTTAATAAAAATCATTTTTTAATAACTCAAAGTTGAAACGGATTCTTCTACACAAGTCTATGCCATGTGAAATACATTGCAAAACCTATGATGAAAAAATTGTCTGGTTTCATAAAGTTTCAAAAAAGTTATGTGGGAAAAACCAAATTATCATATACTTTTGAGCGGTATTGTAGCTTAATAGTACAGGCATTGGGTAGTTTTGCAAAAAAAAGTTTTGCTTGGAAATCTCAGAGGTTTAGTAGTTTCGTTTAAAGTTTCGGGTATAGCCAAACCCAAATGTTTCTACTTCTAGGTCTAGTGTTAGTTCTAGTTTTACACTACCACTGCTACTACGTAAAACTAACACTATACTTAGAACTAGAATCATTTGGGTTTAGCCGCACGTCTCTAAAGACGGCTAAACCCGAATGATTCTAGTTCTAGGTATAGTGTTAGTTCTCATTTTATACTTGCGATCTCACCATTTGACTTTGGTCACAATTTCAGTTTATCACATTTATTGTCTGAAAACGCACAACGAAACCCGATACTTTCTAGTTCTAGGTCTAGTGTTAGTTCTAGTTTTATACTAGTAGTAGTAGTTTTATAGTAGTTACATATTAGTAGTAGTAGTAGTTTTATACTAGTACTATTACTAGAACTAACACAAGATCTAGAACGAGAATCATTCGGGTTTAGCCGTCTTTAGAGAAGTGCGGCTAAACCCGAATGTTTCTAGTTCTAGGTCTAATGTTAGTTGTAGTGACAATGGTAGCTAGTGCTAGTTAGTATAAGATATCACTATGTTGTATATTTTTATTGAACTAAAACTAGAACTAACACTAGACCTAGAACTGGAAACTATTGGGTTTAGCGGGGTTTTCTAGTTCTAGGTCTACTGTTAGTTCTAGTTTTACACTAGAAGTGTTACTATATAAAATTAACACTATACTTAGAACTAGAATCATTTGGGTTTAGCTGCACGTCTCTAAAGACGGCTAAATCCGAATGATTCTAGTTCTAGGTATAGTATTAGTTCTCGTTTTACACTTGCAATGTCACCAGAACTAACATTAGACTAGAACTAGCAACATTTGAGTCTAGCGGTACGGATTTTAAGACGGCTAAACCCGAATGATTCTAGTTCTTGGTCTAGCGATGCATAACAATTAAAGCTAGAACTAACACAAGACCTAGAACTAGAAAAATTCAGGTTTAGCTGTGCGTCTCAGACTCGTGTGATTACACAGGCAATTCTGCACACTCGTACAGTAATTATGTTTCTAGTCCACTTGTAATATAAATAACTATTAATGTACATACATACATATATGATTTTAATTACGAGGATTTATTTATTATTACAGGGATAATTTCGTGGAGAACATTCCTCATTAAGATTAATTATGTTTAAGCAATCATGGTCAATCGACGTTTCGAGCTGTTGTAGGTCCATCATCAAGATTTCACTGTTAATCTAAAAGAACACTTACAAATTTAAGCAAAGATAACAGACTTTCCAAATATTCGTCGTTGTCTTTGCTTAAATTTGTAATTGTTCTTGTAGATTAACAGTGAAATCCTGATGATGGGCCTACAACGGCTCGAAACGTCGATTGATCATGATGGATTAAACATAATTAATCTTAATGAGGAATGTGTTATTTCCCCACGAAATTATCCCTATAATAATATTATTTAAGTTATTTTCTTGGGTGAGTTTAAAGTAAAGTGGCAAAGTACATTTCTAAATCGGAGGCCGTTTTATTTTTAAACTCAAGGAACAAAAAACGAAAAAAAAACAGAAAACCTTTAAGTCTTTAAAGACCGATTACACCTAAAACTAAGGTCCGATTGGGTTATTTATAAACTGATGTTGTACTTATGGTGATTATAAGATTATAACTGTACCTTATGGTGGTTGATTTTTCCGTTTTTAAGGATTGTTTGAAGAAATTTTCGTGTGGCCATTTTTATGACACCTTTTCGGGCTTATTCCCGGTTAAACTGATAACATTCACGTTTGTTTTTAACTTTCCGTGCGTTTCTCTGACGAAACGACTTCATGGAGTTAAAGTCCTCCGGTTAAGTATACAACCCAATAAACTTACTTTCTAAATTGCTTAATCTTTTGATAAATCTTCAAGGTTGAATTTATAAAGAAATCTTTAGTTAGATAAGATTATTGTTTTAAATGTTTTTGACTGAACTTAAGTATCTAAATATGTGTTGATGTTGTAAAAAATAAAAACAACATTTTACAAGCGTCAATGTTTATAATTGAAGAGATTTCTTATAAACTGAGAGAGTTATATCGTTTAGGAATTAATAAAACACGTGCTTATTCTACAACTATGTTTATTCAACTACTTACAACTTATCAACATAACTACATCTTATCGTTTATGTATTAAGTTGCCTAACTTGACTTCTTTTCAATGCATTCTTTTATTAACACTACATAGTTGTTGACTTCTGTTGGTTCCTTAACTGGTTCAAACATTTTGTATTCAACCAATGTTAATTGTGGCAGATGGTAGCTTCGGATGTCTTCAGACACAGCAGTAATTTGTGGCCCGAAGAGGCATTCAGCTAAAAGTATTGCATACTAAATAATACTTTACTAGTTCTTTACGCCATTTATTTCTTAATAGCTACCCTTTAAAACTAAATGTTCCTAATACATAACATCCCTTCCTTCTTAGCTATCTATTACAATGCGTACTTATATTTTTTTTGTTATTCATTTTTCTTACAAATTCAAGAGAAGTGGACTCAACAGGAATGAATGCGAGTTCCTCTTCTTGTGGTAATCTTTCCTCATTTACATTTTTGGTACATGGTTCTTTTATTTTCGTTTCATTTATTGCACAAGGGGCATATAGTAGAATTTCTAACATTTTAAACTCTGTTGTGTTATTTTTCTTTAAATTATCGTGGTGTACGAATTTTTGCCTTTTGCCTGGCATAGACTAAATATGTTGTTTTACTCATTATTTTATAAACTTTTCCTGGTACCCATTTTTTCTCCTTATTTAAGTACAACCATATAGCCTCTCCTCCCAAAAATATCTTTTGTTCTCTTCTTTAACGTTATTAATTTGGTTCTTGGTAATTGTTTAAACATTGCTTCTGTTGGGCTTAGTCCATTTATCAACAACATTTGGCAACTATCGGGTATTCCCCTTACTGGCCATTTGTTATTAGCAACCTTATTGTAACAATCCAATACGATATATAAAATCTCTTGTTGTAGTTTCGTCTAGTTTTCTTCTCATCGCTTGTAATTCATCACCACATTCATTTCTAAGAAAACTGTCGCTGTTATTACTTTCGATTATTAATTAAAGTATCCTCCTCTTAATGCAAAAAGCCGTTTTGAAAAATCTCTTTCAGTTCTTGAGAAAAAAATTTTTGAAATGATCGACAATTTTTTCGAATTTTGTAATTTTCGCCAATTAAGTTTTAAAAATTCGTATAAAATCCAGTTCTTGGAATATAAGTATGAAAATTTCCCAAAGTGTTAATAAAAGTGTCCTCTTTCCAATGAACCAACCCGTTTTGAAAAATAACTTTTAGTTTTTGAGAAAACAATATTTGAAGTTTTGATAAAATTTTCGATGTTGCAATTTTCATCAATAACATTCAAAATTCGTTATAAAATTCATTTCTTGAAGAATCCTTCTGGAAATATCGCCAATTATTAATTAAAGTATCCTCTTTCTAGAGTTGCTTCGTTAGTTAAATCAGCATCAAAAAAGTTCATTTTGTATCTTGGATTCAAATAAGTTGACATATCTTATCAGCTTTGTTATTAATTTCATTTTTATTCAAATATCGCAATAATGTGGCAATAATAACCGAATATCCGGATGAAAGGAATGCCGAATATCCGGTATCCGGCTTTTCGTAAAATCACTATCCGTTTCATCTCTAGTTTTGATGCTTTGAGGAGTAAGGATTGATCTCCTGTTTGGATATAACCTGGTGAACCTTTGTATACATATAATGTTAACATGTGACTATATTTGCCTACTTTAACGTTGACAATTATTTTACCTAATAAAGACAAGGTTTCGCCTGATACATTTTTTATAGCATTTTTTGTTACACCTAGATTAGTTTGCTTAAAACGGCTTTCATAGGTTTTTTGGTCAATTACCGACACATTCGCCCCTGAATCTACTCCCATCTTCAACTTCACTCCTTCCACCGCTGTAACGTGGACGGGGTAAAAGGAACACCACCACTAATGTAATGTAGACAAAAAAAGAAAGAAATACGGTAGCGTGTACTTACAGAAAAAGGGGAAAAATTATAGAAGATTTTTGAGATGCTGCCACCGGGCAAGTTACGTACTTGGCCGAACGGTTTAAGAAGTTAATGAGTAAGAGGAGGGAGGATCGTAGCCCTTATGTTGAAATTAAAATAATACGAAACAAGAATTAAAAATATTAATATATTAAATTAAGAAAAATAGTATATCTTTTGCTTTTCAAATTGCTCTATATATTTTTCTTTACGTCATTGGATAGAGATTGTTTTTCTGAATCCACTGATGTACAATACATCCATTTTGAATATAATTTTAGTAGAGAAAAGACACCTGTATATACAGGTTGCCACACAAGAACGCCGCTAGCTGTATCTCTGTCATTTACCTTCCAATTTTCATGACCTAGCTATCAAATGAAATGGTTTGATGAATACTATGATTCATGCTACAAATAAACTTTTTCCAACGCCATCTTCAATTTCTAGCGATTATCAACATTTGATTTTCAAATTGCTCGGTATGTTTTTCTTCACGCTATTGGATAGAGTTTNCTAGTACCTTTCTGTAACCATAGTAAAATCACAATTAAATTACATTAAACTTAAAATTTTTCTGGGTTAACTAACATAATGTCTTTTGCTTATAAGTAATCAAGTAATAGTAGATCTACTGGCCTCTCAGAATTGAGTAAGTAAAAAAATATATTTATTTATTCTTACATGAGGAACTATTGTGACATTTTGAAGTGCATAAAATCTTACTTTTAAGACATGAACACTTTTTAGTATCACAGTGCTTTTTGCAAGTACATTTAATAAATCCCTGACCTGTCCCCGTAAATTGCAGATTGGCAGCTGTAAAGCGTCGTTTCTAGATTAGGGACATCTTCTTTTTTAAGTAGTTAGGAGTGGAGAATCCAATGATTGCTCACGTTCTGATACGAAATTTAGAACATCTAAGGGTTGTCTATGTTCCTCAGAAGGAAGACCTGCAACATTCGCAGGTTCATTAAGAATCTCGGCAGTTCGGATAGTCATGTGTTCATCGTCATGTTCATCAAACGCACTTTGAGCATTCGAAGCTTCATTACGGATCTCAGAACATTCTATGATGGGGCTTTGTTGATGTTGAGCTACGAGAGTGACCTCTATATTAAAGATTCTGAAGGAATGAGAATACTTGGTGATGACTTAATCACATTTTCTAGATCCTCTTCACTCTTCAGGTTATGAGTATGATCGAGAGTTAAAGATATACCAAAGATATTCCATTTTCTCGCCTTTTACATACATTGCCGGCTTCGCATTCGGTATTTTATAGAATACCTAGGCAAAGTATAAAATTAATAATATTTCATGTATTACCTAAACGTTTTAGGTATTCTATAAGTTGCCTAGGTATTGTATAGAATACCGGATTATACAGANCGTTTTGAAAAATAACTTTTAGTTTTTGAGAAAACAATATTTGAAGTTTTGATAAAATTTTCGATGTTGCAATTTTCATCGATAATTTTCAAAATTCGCTATAAAATTAATTTTTTTAAGGATCCTTGTGGAAATATCACCAATTATTAATTAAAGTATCCTCTTTTTAATGCAAAAAGCCTTTTTGCAAAATCACCTTCAGTTCTTGAGAAAAAATTTTTTGAAATGATTGACGATTTTTTCGAATTTTGTAATTTTCGCCGATTAAGTTTTAAAAATTCGTATAAAATCCAGTTCTTGGAATATAAGTATGAAAACTTCCCAAAGTGTTAATAAAAGTGTCCTCTTTCCAATGAACCAACCCGTTATGAAAAATAACTTTTAGTTTTTGAGAAAACAATATTTGAAGTTTTGATCAAATTTTCGATGTTGCAATTTTCGTCGATGATTTTCAAAATTCGTAATAAAATTAATTTCTTGAAGGATCCTTGCGAAAATATCACCAATTATTAATTAAAGTATCCTCTTTTTAATGCAAAAAGCCGTTTTGAAAAATCTCTTTCAGTTCTTGAGAAAAAAATTTTTGAAATGATCGACAATTTTTTCGAATTTTGTAATTTTCGCCAATTAAGTTTTAAAAATTCGTATAAAATCCAGTTCTTGGAATATAAGTATGAAAATTTCCCAAAGTGTTAATAAAAGTGTCTCTTTCCAATGAACCAACCTGTTTTGAAAAATAACTTTTAGTTTTTGTGAAAACAATATTTGAAGTTTTGATAAAATTTTCGATGTTGCAATTTTCATCAATAACATTCAAAATTCGTTATAAAATTCATTTCTTGAAGAATCCTTCTGGAAATATCGCCAATTATTAATTAAAGTATCCTCTTTCTAGAGTTGCTTCGTTAGTTAAATCAGCATCAAAAAAGTTCATTTTGTATCTTGGATTCAAATAAGTTGACATATCTTATCAGCTTTGTTATTAATTTCATTTTTATTCAAATATCGCAATAATGTGGCAATAATAACCGAATATCCGGATGAAAGGAATGCCGAATATCCGGTATCCGGCTTTTCGTAAAATCACTATCCGTTTCATCTCTAGTTTTGATGCTTTGAGGAGTAAGGATTGATCTCCTGTTTGGATATAACCTGGTGAACCTTTGTATACATATAATGTTAACATGTGACTATATTTGCCTACTTTAACGTTGACAATTATTTTACCTAATAAAGACAAGGTTTCGCCTGATACATTTTTTATAGCATTTTTTGTTACACCTAGATTAGTTTGCTTAAAACGGCTTTCATAGGTTTTTTGGTCAATTACCGACACATTCGCCCCTGAATCTACTCCCATCTTCAACTTCACTCCTTCCACCGCTGTAACGTGGACGGGGTAAAAGGA